TAGGGGCGAGGGTGGGGGAGGGGTGGGGCCGGGGTGGGGGAGGCGGGGGAGGGGGTGGGGTTAGGGGGGAAGGGATGGTGAGGGTTGGGAGGGGGCTCTAGATAGCCAAAAGCAGTTCACTCCTTTGTTAACAGTCACATAATCATGTTTAACCCTGCCTCTTGCAGGCGTCAAAGCGTTTATCCGACACTTACTCTTCGCATGTCAGCAGAAGGCATTTCAGGGTCCTTTCAATAAAGCCATAAAAATGCTAGTGGTCACCGCTGAAACAAAAAGTTTGTTCAATCGCTTCCGTCAGGACCATGTCCTCAGAAAATGTTCAAATCTGCTCTGCTGCCCATTGACTTTGACCTGCTGACCTCCAATTTTCGGCCAGTGCATGGGCTTTTTCCTACCATGATCTATACACCGACTATCACGATGCCTAGGCTCGAGCCGTTTTAGATTTGTGCCGCAATTTCTGCATTTTCCTCCTTTACCTTAAGTTAAGGGCAAGCACAGTCTGCCACGTGATGTTCCCTTCTTTTACACCTTCTTGACTTTTTTGGGGGGGGAAAACCTTTGGACCCCCAGCTTCGACATCCAATTTGCTGCGTCCCGCGTTTTCGCGGATTACCCCCCACGTCCCGAATATTCGTGACCGTACGTCGAGCGAGTTTAAGATTTGCTGCCAACTGTGACGGCAACGGACGCTCGCACGGACGGACGCTCGCACGGAACGGTACGCGACGATCATTGCCGATTCTACAAGACTGCATCTGACTATGTCAGAATGATGCTAAAAATATAAAATAAATACTAAACATATACATTACTATAACATGCATATTAGCCCGACCAGGCTGTGCGAGGGATTGTCTATACGCCTGACACCCTTCCATTACAAAAAACATCACTCTGCCAGATCTAGATTGATATGACTCTGTATAGTCTCAAATAAAACTATTCTATTACCATCTATTGACTTCCTTGTTTGAAATAATGAACGTTAACTCACAGTTGTCCTGCCTTCTAAACTAGAATGTATCGTGCTTAATCATTGGTATAACTCTGCAAATTCTCACAGCATTATCAACTTTCCAAATCAGCTTACCCCGCCATGCTTTACACTGCCACATTGGGGGAGTTCAATGCGAAGAGAGACACGCAAAACCTGAAACGGAAAAGACGTCGCCTAGAAAATTACTACGAAGAGTACCATAGCTGCACGATGGCTCTCACGGCAATTACACACAAAGCAATGTGAAACGTATCGTTCACAAATGTCTGGCGCCATTTGGTACGATTGTACGCCCCCCCCCCCCGCCGGCCGGCGTTTGCCTCAGTAGATCGCGCTCGCAGTCGCGCGATTGAAGGCACAGGCAGCAACCACGCGGTCGCGCCACACAATAACCCAACTCTTTACAGGCGCGCTCCAGCTGTAACGATGTAGTCGTTAGTTGGGGTTCGTACTACTGGCGATCTATGGCCTAGACGCTGCGTAGGTGTGCCTGCATGCAGGATAGTACACGGCATGGGACGTACGCAAACCAACATATTTAGACATCAAACTATTGATCGTAACGTACCACACTGCGCGTTTATTGCTTGGACGTCGATGCAAAGTCGATAACAAGCCGGGGTATCAGATATAAGCTATCGGAGAGAACAAGATGGTCGGAAGGGACAGTCAGGTTCTCCCGAGCTTGGTTGAGTCCTTCGCCTTTAAGCCCGTCTTCATAATTCGCGTTCACCATAAAACCCCGCCGCCTTCGTGACACGTTTCTCACGAACGCCGAGTTTTCTCACGGCGGGCGACCTCGCGAGCAGTGTGGTCCTCCACCTGTCGCCTCGCCTCCTCTGTCGCACCTAGGTGACACAATCGGATCTCCCGCGCCGCGGCGAGCTCGGGTGTAGCCGGTGTTTATGCCCCATAACACGGCTTCATTTCGCCACGGGCGACGCTCGGGTGTAAGCCTGCTGTTTCATGCATCATAAACACGGCTTCAATTTCGCACGGGCGAGCGCTCGCGGTGTAGCCGGTGTTTATGCATCATAAACACTCCTCGTACATTTGTAAAAACATGTTCTCGGATGTAGGTGCGTTTGCATGAGCGACCGCCCAGATCGTTTAATATCCCTTGCTTTATCCATTGCCGGATTTTAGTCACAGTCCGGAATGATAGCAATACATGGGGCAAATTCATAAATTTTGTGTTGTATTCGTCTCAAAAAGTCGGGCTGTAACCCCGTAAGTACCTAGCGCCATCGTAGCGCCACTGAATGCGTGACAAGAAAGGTTGATGTATACTGATTCATTGTGATATTCACATGTGAAGCTGTTCTGGGGCGATACTTGCGCAAAATAAGACAACTACGTGTTTAGCTGCAGCCAATGTTGTTGAAACGCGTATTTCTAACCCTAGCAATAACGTTTCTTGGAGCTACATGCATATATGATATACTTATGTACATATGCATTATACATTAATACATTGTACTAAAACAACCTAAAATACCTCGGGTTACATATATCAATCATTATAAGTTTTACGTACTAATGTAGCCTACCGCGCTACCTAGATACTGATGCTGATATGGTCTACAGGGTTGAAAAAACTGATAATTGGGAGGCACTGCCGTCCCAGCGGACATGCCTCTGACGAAGCACGTCGCCGCTCCCGTCCGGCGGCTGCACAGCTCACGCGCCGGCCCGTCGTGCCGCTCGCACGTCGCGTGATCTTGGCTGCGCTCGGGCACTTACCGTGCGACCTGAACCCCGCTGCGACAGCGTGACGTCAGAGCGGTCGCGCTGTGGCGGACTTTTTATAGGGTGGGGGGTGGTTGCAATTTGGTAGGTGCTATGTCCTAAAGGCGTGATTCTTAGAACATTAGTATTTTGTTGACACGTGGCGGGAGCGTCTCGATAGCTCACTGATGCGCGTAGATAATCCGGCTAACAAAGTCCGCGAAGTCAATAGTTCAACCAGCATCACGTCAGGCTCTGAAGACCGGCCATTATTCCTATTATCATCAAAAAATTATCTATTTTATTAGCGATCGCTGATTCAGTGACTTGGGTTCGGAGGGATGCCCAGATTATTCCGAATTTAGCAAGAGGCTTTAACAGACATGACCTGAGAAAATCGAACACAAAACCAAACATGGAGAGTTTTGTAGCTTCCGGCATGGACTTTAGGCTCGGATTTGACTATTTTGTATGTCTATATTTGACTTAAATTTACCATTCCTTTTCATTTTAGAATAATGTAGAAGCGTTAGTAGATAATAACAAAATAATACAGTTTGCGTAAAATTTTTTATTTTCCTGTGCCGGCAGCCTAAAAATTACTTTTTTTCTTACGCGTAGCCTATTTTAGGGCTTTGGGGCCAGCGTACTATTTTCAAAGCATGATTTTGTAAAAATTTTCATAATTTTGATGCACTGACTCTAATATTCATTTTCATCATCATTCAGCCACTGCAGCACAGTAATTAACCCAACCGAGGCTGTGGTGTGACTAAACTCATATATATACCTCCTAGCAATACCGTTTCTTGGAGCTACACCATATGAGACTATCAGTGTTAGGAAACGTCAACAAAGTTACATTCGATCACATTTTTTTTAGTCTCATTTCACTCGACTAACGAACAATTCACATTCTTATTCAATCTTCATCACACCAGCACAGATATGCATACACAAGTACACATAGTAGGTTAACATGGACCAAGACAGGAAACCAAGAATTAAATCACTGCCGTAATGATGGTATGGTTATATTTTCAAGTTTCTCATTTTTTTGATTTACTTTCCTTCATCCTTTCAACTCTTCTGTTACATCGACCTGAAGCAGTTCAGAACATTCAGAACGATGTTTTAGTTACTTGAGTATGTTAAAAAAAACTTCTGTACTGGAAATCTCTAGGAAATGACCGAGAGAGCTTACTGGGCCAGTTTTTACTTTTGTTTTCTCCTCCCCAGTCCAGGGGTACCCATGCATAATGATATCCAATGCGGTCCGCCACATCCGCAAAGTACAAGTGCCTAGAATCTAGAAGTAGACTTCTAGAATATTGCTTCTAATAATCTAACTGAATAAAAATAGTCCACTTTCTACGTTTAAGAAAAAAGTGACGAATTCAGTTTAACAGCTTTTGATTACTGGCGTTCAGGTGTCACTTGGTTTTGTTTGCCCTCACCCCCCCACGCATAACCCCTGCGCATATAAAAACTTATTGTTACGTGGGCATAAAAACTCTGCGCGGCTGCCGGTCTGTCAACGGTCTGAGACTTACCCCCAGTCTGAAAATTACCCTAGCACCTCGTGCCATGCGGACGCATGCGCAGCTAGCGCTGGGTAACGGGGGGGTTAATGAGACTGCCCGCGCCACAGTCTGAGATTAGATCTGGGCAGTAGGAGGTTAATTCAGACTTGGGCTGTTCACGGGTCTGAGATTACGCCCAGTCTGAAATTAACCCCTGCCAAATTAAATCCTAGCCGTGCCCAGTATAGGTGGGTAAATTCAGGACTGGGGTAATCTCAGACCGGTGTCACGGTCTGAGATTTACCCCCAGTCTGGAAATTACCCCCTGCCAAATTCATATGCCTGTGTGCCATAGGTGGGTATAATTCAGACTGGGGTATCTTCAGACCGGTGGTCACGCGCTCTGAGATTCCCCCAGTCTGGAAATTACCCCCTGCAAATTATATTCCTGTGTGCCATAGGTGGGTAATTCAGACTGGGGTAATCGTCAGACGGTGTCACGGTCTGAGATTACCCTCTGAAATTACCCCTGCAACACTTATATACCTGTTGTGCCCATAGGTGTCAATCCGGCTATATCTCAGATAAGCAAGGGTAATCTCAGACCGGAGGTCCTGTCATGGGTCTGAGTTACCCCCAGTCTGAAAATTACCCCTGCAAGATTATTATCCTGGCATTGTGCCAATATAGCGTGGGTAAATTCATGACTGCGGAGAATCTCAGGACCGGTTGGAATTCGAGGATCGGATCGAGGGAAGAGAATCGCGATCCGATTCGATTTCGGTGGATCGTTACAGCCCTACTTGCTAGTAGTATATCGGCAAATAGTCGGAGTAGAAGATGTAGTGGAATTGCAAGAAAGTCATAGTATATGTGTGTAATTTATTGGCGTCTTTTTCAGTGATAAGAGCTTATGGGATGTCGCTATTGACATGTCAAATGCACCATCCAACAAGGAAGGTATACTGTATTATAGGAGAACTATTTCCCTCCATGAGTATTGGAAGTATAATATATCATAGCCTAATTGTAGGATTAACAATATATATACTGGTTGGTATTTTTGATAGTAACAACCGTTTGTTACATGTTGATGATGTTTGGCTTTTTCCGGTTAAACAAGCTTTATACAATTCTGATATGCATGGACAGCCTATAATATATATAACTGGGTAAGATGTAAATTATATATATTCTACAGCTAAATCTGGATCTGTATTCCACAGACGATTCTACATCAAACATAGAAGAAGGAACATTATTATTATTAGGAAGTCAAAACTCGGTAAGGAGTTTACTAAAATGACTGAATTTAGTGATAGCCATGATTTTTATACTCAGCCTAGTATGTGTAGATGAGGCAGATTTTTATAATTAACATAGAAGGACAATTAATTAAGTTATAGTAGAATGTGTTATCATTGATATTTTTAAGATATTTAATTGAAATATAATTGGGTGAATATAATAACAAATAGTATGCATTGACAAATAATTTTTTCTTGTAATAATTATTCTGTACATGCAATTAATGTTGTACCAACTGTATAGAAGTCTAGAAGAAGATTATAATATGTCGTTATGTATAATCATTTTAGGGGAAGACATCAATAGGATTAAGACTGTCTGAAAGGTATGGATTCCAGCTGTTTTTTCCTTGAGGTGCATAATTATAATTATATCATAGCATAGACTGACATAAATTAGCTAAATAACTTATAATGATTATGAAGTATTATTATTATTGGAATAGTTTCGGTTGCAATAAAGATAATTTTTAAATGAATTCCTATTCATATTAGCATTGATGTACATGTTAAACAATGTATTCTTATGATAAATTGTTAATATATCAACTTTCCAATCTCCCAATAGGGATGAGCAAGCCAAGCCCACTACAGCATTGGAATATACCTACTCTAGACTCAGCCGAGGAGCTAAATTGGTAGATATCTTTGATTTATACAGGTATTATAAAGTGAAAATATGTAGTTGGGATTTAGTTCTCGGACAACATTGTTGAGGTAAACGTTGGTCAGGATGTAAATATTGTATAAATTAGGACTAATCATCATTCTGGTAATGTCCTCCTGAGTTTAAGTTGTGAGAAACCCATTGGTTTTCGTTGCAACGATATGGATTTTGGTTAGTCAATGAGAGAAGTCGTCTTATGATACATAAAGATCAGTAAAACTATTCACAGGTACTTTAGTGGCTAATAGCATATTATAGTACAGCACCTTTCGCATTTTAAGGCTGCGACATATGTAATAACTAGTACATGTTCTACTACAGACAAGAGATGTTCTTCACATATGGGAGCTCGGAGGGGGAACGTCACTTACCAAGTTACTGGAGGTACCCATAAATCCAAGCACACTATTGTGAGTAGTGATAGACTAGACTGGACTGAGACTGCACTTACATTAATTAGTCACTGTTCAAAAAAATATAACAGTGACTAACAAGAGTTTGATGCAGGTTATAGAGTATTAATGAGAGAGTGACAAAGAGTAAACCTTTTGTTTTCTAGCCATCTTGACTTCTATTTTTATCTGCGTTTTACAGCTCTCCTTAAGTCACACTTGTGGTGCATTCTGCATTATACAATAAGATATTGAAAGTCGTCATCATATTCAGTTTGAAACGTGGAGTGAAATGCACAAAAGAAATTATGAAAAATATTTGATCTATTTGAGAATTTACTGTTTTGCAGCTCATTATCCATTGGAATTGTGATTGACCTTTCTCAGCCAGAGGTCATGTGGGTTACCTTAGAGACTTTGCTGCAGGCATTGAACTTAAGGCTTGATCAAGTATTCAAGGAAATTGGTAGTAGTAATACTGATTTAACGAACATGTTGAAGAGGCAAGCGATGAAAAGAATTGGAGATGACCACAGGGTATGCATAATTACCAAAACTATACCACCCAGTATAAGCCATGCAGAATACGTCTGTTTAATCTGCAGTTAAAAGTTAAATATGTACAAGTGAAGTTACATTTTGTCAACATGTTTGTTGAAATATGTGCAAAAATACAATTACCTTCCACCTTATCATTTTATCTAGTTTATTCGTAGTTACTTAGTTCTATAATTGGTTTTGATAATTCCAGGACATAGACATGCTCAACCCATTTCCTGTTCCCTTGGTAATAATTGGCTCCAAGTATGACATATTTCAGGTATTGAAGTTTCTTAATGTGTCAGCACGTGAATTTCTGTGTCATGTTGTTCAGTCTACCCTGCTATCAATATACAGTGATTGAACACTCTAAATACATAGTAAATAACTTTGCTAAATATCAACCTTTAGAAAGTCATCAGTTTATAATATTGGATTCATAATATAATGTGTTTGTAGTAGTTTGAAATTATCAAAAAATCAGGTTAGTATGTGTTGTTCATAATCAAGCGCTGTTGATAGTACTTAATGCTTTTCTTGAATAATTGCAGGACAAATTTGATTCTGAAAAAAGAAAAGTCATCTGCAAAACTCTTAGATTTCTAGCTCACATAAATGGAGCAGCACTACATGTATGTTCTTCAGTTATTGAAGTAAAATTCCCTGCTATGAAATCCTAACAAATGCTGGTTTTCGGTAATAATTGATGTAAAACTAATGCGCGATAAATCGGAGACATGTATACAAATTATGTAGTTCATGTACACATTTACTATTTATTGTTGTTTACATGTTATAGTTCTGCAGCACTAAGATAGATGGACTTATGCAGAGAACTAGAGCTTTGCTGGCAATGTCTGCCTTCCCTGCCACACTAAGGTTTGTGTGACACTGCCGAACTACTGCAGACGATAGGCATGATCAATAGTCTGGTTCAATTTCCCAATTGTATCAGCTGTATATTACATGCATGGATAATTAAGACTGTAGGTTATAACAGGGGTAGAAATTAACTTTTGAACAAGGGGGTCCAACGGACTCCCTGCCCTCAAAAAGAGGTAGTCCGCAGCAAAATGAGGGAGTCTGCAGTCTGAAGTTCAAAACTAAAGATATTAACAATAACGTGTGTGCTTATTTTGAAGATTCATGCGGTTGCACATCTGCCGAATTATCTTTGGACATTTGCTGAAAAAATACGGCAATTCCGCGAGGCCGTGCACTGGAACGAACTAGTTAGTATAGCAGAATTTTTAGGGAGTCACACGGACTCCTGCATGTCAAATCAGGGAGTCTGGCAGGAAATCGGGGAGTATTTGACTCCGGACTCGCGTTAATTTCGCACCCTGTTATAAGATGTTGTTGCTCGATAACATTAGCAGCATAGGTATGTGTAATATTTTGGTATATGATACTATTGCCCTATTTTGAGAAATGATGCACACTTATCATGTTCTGTTAGAATATCTTCTGAGATTGCAATTGTAAGGGATTCTGTGAGGACTACTACTCACATATTCTGTTGTGATGGGTACTATTTCTATTATACAATAATTTGTGCTTATTGTACTACAACATAATGTAATTAAATTGATATTGGTGCATATATTCAGCATCGCCCCCGCCTTAGCCGATCTTTCAAATTGATGTCTGAAAAAACACTCGCTAGATTAATGCTACCTTCATTAATTGTTTACGTGATGTTATTGATAACATTTCACATGCAACCATTTGTTTTTGTAGTAAGCAGAATGATTCAAAAGAGAAGAAAGTGTTGCTTGATCATAATAAACCTGTCATCGTCCCGTTTGGCATGGATTCTATGGAAATGATAGGCTCTCCATTGCTCCCTGCGGGTGATATTAGCCAGGTCACGGCAAGGTACAAAACATTACATCGCTACACGTTGACACTGAGATATTGTAGGGGAACATTAGTCAAGAGTTTGAGTTAAGTGTATTAAGACGATTACGGCATAAACCAATAGTATATACCTACATATATCTATTAGCGGTCATTTCCTGTTATTATTATTATTATACATCAAATCACATGTAGAGGGGCAACCTGGATTTTAAGGAAACGACCACTGAAAGTTTCAACACATAAAAAAATGCTAGTGAATACTGGGCCACAAAATCGCTGATGTAGCATGAATTAATTCTATAACCTAATTAACCCTACAGTAGCGTTTCCCAGCGAGCAGAAACTATGAGCTAATTGATGGCTTCCCTGCAATTAAACATAGTTATCAATTTGAGATGAGTACTAGCAGTTGTATGCTAATCTATGTAATAAAATCACGCATATTACTCATCACAGAGATTTACCGCATTCCTAACACAAGCACGCATGCACGCACGCACGCACGCACGCAGATGATGCTATAATAGTCTAATGCGAGTTGATAATTGATATTGATTATTAAATATTGCAGAACGCCATTAGAGTTGTGGAAAAATTCGTACACCAGTTTCTTTCCACAACAGGTAATATGATACTCTGTATTAACTATTTAGCATTCTACCCTATATATTATCATCACCTGTTTAAAAGCACATCTATATATTTATAGCATTTATGACTTCGATGATGTTTTCAGTGTGAATGTATAAATGTATCCTCCATGACAGAAAGTCGGTGTTGTTATCAAGATTCTTAATCTGAATTTCTGAGTTTGCGAACACGCGCATCAATTTCTGATGTCACATTTTCTATATCCAATGTGCTCAGTTTTATAGTATGATTTATTGATATTTTTATACAATGATCCAACCTGAAATGATTAGAGCTTCATTCAAACTTTACAAACACGTAATGGTAACTGGTTTTTACATTTGCCAGAGCTCTGCTGCACCACTGAGACAGGAAGACCCAACAAGTGACCCTCAGTACAGTGAGCCAACCATTGACGCTGTCCGTAGACAAAGAGACGAGGTCAGTATACATGTATATACGCTACCACGAGAAACAACACGATTGACATAGATTTGAAATTAAAAACCGTGCAAACCGAGTGATCTTTAAACCTTGAATAAATCTGACCCTATAAGTATATATATATCTGAAGACTCCTGAATGATATGCAAAATTTATATTATGCCATTTAGTCTGGAATATCGCATTTTGAAATTCAGCTACTTTTTGCAAGATCGGTATAACCAGTTTTATAACTGAATTCTCGAACGTGAAGAATGTAGGTGGCTAGATGTAGCATGCTTTAATGCCCTTTCTCGCCCAGTAAAGTTACCAATGCAGTGCAATTTTCTTTTAGGAGCTCGAACGGTATCGGAGGTTAGCAGAGCAACGTGCTGAAGATGCTGCGAAAAAGGGCTTGCAGGCTCACGTACAAGCTTAGCCAACCGCTGCATCGATGACCCAACTGTGACCTTTGTACAGGTGATACATTTATAATGCTGCGAGAACCTGAATATGTTCCCTGCACAGATGCCAGCTATACTCTTGTAGATAGTCTTTAATAAAATCGTGTTCTGGATTTTGAAGGACCTGATTATAGTTTATTGTAGCCTGTAAATATGCTGTATATAGAAATTTGTTAAAATGCTTAGACATGTCTTCTGTGTGAACATGTTACTGAATTCATTTTTGCTTGGTTCGGGTGCAGTGGAAATAGTCCAATTTAATCACTGAATGCACAAAAGTAGAATAATGGGTTCTTTATTCTAAAATATAAATCATAGTATTGCTACAGGTATTCCTGCATTTATGGAGACTAAAAAACACCTCACTTATACAGTAATGTATCAATTACCAATGTTATTGGGCTAATCCGTAACATTCTTTTTTGACAAACGTCTGGGAAAGTGCACTCACAGGTATGACGAATTTGACTATTTAAGCATATAAGGATTATATTCTTTATGATCCTTGGGACAAGGATTAATCCGTCTATAAACTAATAATCTATATGTAAACATTATCTATTTTGTACATCACATGCACTACACGTATTACAATACATTCAACTTTTCATAAAGCTCAAAACTTATTTGTCATAAATAATTTTGCAACATGTATTGTAGTCAATGTAGTGCACAAATAAACATAACTTACACAGGTATATCTTGATATTTATTGCTTTTTCAATTTTGTAATTTTTTCTTAACACAATCTTACATAGAGTACACAATTAAGTTTAATAAAAAAACGCCCTTTAGGCTTTGCTATGTAGTGTTTAAAATGTTGAACAATAATGAAACAGCACAACATGAGCCAGTGGGTGAGGCTTGATAGGGTGCATATATGTGTTGGCTCACTACGGACCATTTTTTGTGATTTAATGACAATTTGCTCTATTCAGGGAGCACAGCCAAATTACACAGAAAGTGTAATCTTGAAAACATTGTTTGTGAATATTTATCATGTGAACATTTATCAACGTAATAATTTGCCAATACAAGTTGATAAATAACAAGATACGGGGGTCAAAATAGTAAAATTCTTCAATCTGACTGGTATTACACCAATTATAGGCACTATCTTGTAGACTGGAGGATGCATTGTATGAAACAAACCTGGCTATATCTTTGACCTAGTTCGGTGAAATATTTACATGAGTCAGAGTGTAATTCCTCCATATAAAGACAACATGAAATTTTAGGACTTAACATGAAATAAGTAAATACTCCTTATATAATTCTTATGATGGTGACATAATAAACTAGAAAAACACATTTACACACGCTTACTAAACTATTATAAAACAAAAAATGACACAATTTAATATCTTTCTGCACTCATTTTGTAATGAGGTTACACCGATTTTAACACGCCTCCTTCACATAGGAGCAGTGTGAGTGAAGGGCTGTGCGACTATTTCATATGGTGGGGGAGGAGATGGACCGCTTTGCAGGCCCTGAGCTTGGGCGCTATATTGGTTTGTGTGAGGCTGCATTGGCATACCTGTATGAGGCATAACAGTACCAGGTGGAAATGTCTGACCGGCAGGAATATGATAGACAATGGTTCCGGGGGGATAAGCAGTGTTGGGCAAAATAGCTGGCTGTCCAGGCACACCCTGAGGCACCGGGGCATAGTAAATGATAACCGGAGTTTGAGAACGCCCACCAAGACAGCACACAGCCTTGCAACAAAGAACGGAGGACCAGATAGCTACGACAAACTCTGTCACAGCTATGATCAACAGCAAGGCACAGATTGTTAATCTACCTCTCATATAAGTTACACAAGCCGGATCGACTGGTTGATCGTAATCGGTCCTACATGAATAATGTTGAAGGCTGTGAGACGTCCAGACTATGAAAATGCTCTCGAATATTATCATAACTCCCGCACCGATGCTTGACAGCATGCTCATGACCATGATAAAAATTATCAGACACTCGTTGGTATTTTTCCGACTTGCACAAATTCCCAACCCTCCGGCGATGATGAAGAGAGGTGCAAACCATATTCCCACTCCTATGGCTGTAGCACCATGGTAATAGTAGAGAGGTTTATCAACGCTCAAGAAAATCACTTCCAGCAATACCGACAGTGTTCCACAGGCAACCTACAAGATATGTGAGTGAAGATTATCTAGCAGCATACTATATTAGACAATACAAGTCACGTAATTAAGTAGCAGGTGCACATGCCATGCAGTACAAATGCAACAGCAGGACAGTTATGAGCCAATAAACCAGTTTTGGTTATATAATAGAAATTAAAATGTTCAAAATCGAGACTGGCTGGGTTTTCAAACTCATTTCCAAGCCTGCTCGGAAGTTTGGAAGCTGCCACTTTACACGCTAGTATTCAAATCTCAGCCAGGGTAGTGAATTTTCGCAAGGTGTAAATACCTATCTCATAAACCCCCGTCACACCGGGGTGGCGTCCTTACTGCGCTTCTACGGCGACGGAAAATGGGCCCAGAGCGCGCCAAGGTCGCCATAAGCGTGGTATAAGCGTGGTGGAAACGCCAGACATCGTGCTGTGGTCGCCATGGTCGCCAATGATCGCCAATGATCGCCGAGTCACGGCGTTTGTTTTGAGCAT